GAGGGAGAGGGAGAGGGAGAGGGAGAGGGAGAGGGAGAGGGAGAGGGGGAGAGGGCGAGGGGGAGCGGGAGAGGGAGAGGGAGAGGGAGAGGGAGAGGGAGCACCTTTGATAATATCTAGAGACCCTCACCTGGTAGGTAGGTGAGGAATCATGAAAGGATTCGACAAACAGATTGATCCCGCACATCTCATACAACGCGCCACAACACAGGAATCTTCTGCCTCGGTCAAAGTTTTATTCGGAAACTAAAAGGTGATCTTCGGAAACTTTATGTTTTTCTTCGGAAACTAACTTTACGGCTTTCTTCGGAAACTAATCTTCGGAAACTATGCGGTTTTCTTCGGAAACTTTACGGTCTTCTTCGGAAACTGTTAAGTGGAAGCTCATCTTCGGCAACTCAAAAGTGATCTTCAGACACTTTAAGGTTTTCTTCGGAAACTATTCTTCGGAAACTCTACGGTGTTCTTCAGAAACTAATGTTCGGAAACTACAAAGAGTCGAAGAGCAACATCAAACCTGCACGGAAATCTTTCTGCAGATCGCAAAACAAGCATGTAAATACCGTAGCCGTCACAAGGTACGTCAATATCCCACCCACCTACCCCCCCACCCACCCCCACCCACCCAGTGCTCCTTCATGCAACTTGGTTGCAACATTGTAAAGGATCTGAGGAATACTGTCTAAATGTTAGCTTTCTGAAGATCGCGGAATAGTCTCTGAAGATCGCAGAATAGTTCCTGAAAATCGCAAAATAGTTTCTGAAGATCGCGAAATAGTTTCTGAAGATCGCGAAATAGTTTCTGAAGATCGCGAAATAGTTTCTGAAGATCGCAAAATAGTTCCTGAAGATCCCAAAATAGTTTCTGAAGGTAGTTGCGGAAGAGTACCAAATAGTTGCGGAAGAAAAGTTTCAGAAGAATGGAGAGTTGCGGAATAGGACTTTGTTCCTTCTGCCTCCATAAAGAAGAGAGCTCCCCACAACCAAAATGCTACCAATAAAGAAACTTGCATGGATCTCAAAGCCGAAGCAGACGACCGATCCAATCCTTGGCTTCGCAAGCCAACTTCGCTCCGAAAGCCAATAATAACTAACCTTGACAGCAAATGCAAAAGTCTTCTGACAAGCGTCGTTGTAAGAACTGTTGCCTCAAAATGCCAGCAATCGCACTAATGTGAAAGTCTGATCGCGGCAAAATACTGCCCTAGTCTTGACGGCAAGTGACAAGTGCTGTTGCAAAACCACGGAGAATATTGTCTGCATGCTTGATGACTAAGGCCACAAGCAAGCCTCCTATGGCATTGTTAAGGATCATGATCCATACCTCATGGCGTTGAAAGAAATAGAACTAAAGGGCGAGAACGTGGAGATAGAGAAGGGGAGGTTTGCGCACATGATCTTTGCGTAAAATGCGTTTCGCAACGCTCAAAGCGGCGCTGAAAGAGAAGCCCCGAAAGAATCCAGTGTGCTCCGCCACGGAGTTCATCGTAGACGTAAGAGAGGTCAACAACAGTGAATAGAATGCCTGGCTTCAAGGGCTGCTTGTAAAATGCCTCTACATAGGTAATTCGCATGCAAAAGCGGGTGCATTTTGCCAGGCAGCCAGTTGCATATTTTGGATCCACATAGAAGTCCGCTCTGTTTTTTCCTTCTGCTTTACGAGCTTCTCCAAGTATACGGCCTGAGTTGGCACCCGCCAGCAGGTCAAATCTTGAGACTTTGGTTGGCACTCTTTGAGCAGTGAAGGTACTGCGAAGCCCGAGCAAAGGCAGCCACCAAGCACAAAGAAGAGGCCTGCACTGCCCAGGGTCCACCAATTGGGAATATAAAATACAAACCTGAAAGTGATCGAATCATGTACAGAAGCCTTTGCGCACAAAACGTTCAAAACCTTGCGTAGTGCACTTTCGCCTAAAGCAGGCTGTTGCTCAGAAGCATTTGCCATGAGAGCCTGCTTGCCTTCCTCACGATGTAAACATTTGGGGTACCAGGATCAAAAACATGTACTGTACTGAAGCTGTGGAAGCAAAAGTCCTTGCTTTGTGAGAGTTGGACCACTGCGATTCCAACCTGAGATCTCAACAACCTCTGCAAGACGTTCAGGAACTAAGAATCAGTGAACATCCATCAGCTGAATCTCAGTCCAAGGTGCTGCCATGAAAGCAATAGCAAGCCACGCAGATCTCACAAGCCTCTTGTCCAAGAGCAGTACCGAAAGGCCAGCCATCACGAGCCTTTGCATGCGGGTGAGCTTCTTGAGACTCCATGCGCATCCCTGGCTTATCCTGGTTGGAAAGATTCGGTTCTCCGCTAGGCTATTAAGCGATCAAGCAAGCACAAGTGTCTGCATCAGCTTGGACAAATAAGATGTGCGTTAAACTTTCAATTGATTGTCGCCACTTGGTACGTCCAGTACAAGTTTGGCTTGGTGGTGATGAGAGCAAGCATGCTGTGTACCGCGTGTTCTGCTCATGACAAAGGATCAGGTCATAGTAGTACTTCAACAGCTGCCACAACTTGAAAGAAGCTGGCATCTTAGTAAGCTATGCTGTTTGGCTATTCGGTAGCCAAGAACAACAGGATAGTTCGATTTGAAAGCACAACAGCAAACTAAATTTGGCATTCTCAGTCTGTTCCAAGCGACGTCTTCCCTTGCCACGTGACTTGAAAAAGTGCCGCTGGCAAATGCACTGTTGCAAGCTGCATCGCCTAAGCCGCGCAATTCTGTTGTAGGGGCCTCCCTATTAAATGTTGATTATCTATCTATATACAATGACTTGTGTTTGCTGCGCGTTGCTAGGTTTTGCCTTCAAGCTTGAGTCAGCTTTGATTCAGAGCCACAATCACAACTTAAGTGTTCTTCCTGAGAAGTGGACTGCATTTTGAAGAACGAAGAGAATCGCTGGAATTGCAAGCCTCGCAGAGTCGCCTGGCTTCACAGCACATATCGCTGCCAGCGCAGCTGAAGCACTGCCAAACTCCACAGCTGCCAAGCCAAAGGACATCAGCAGCTTTAAAGCCTCCTCGGATCCCAAGAGTTTCAGAAACAAACCACATGGGCTACAACTAGAAATTGATAAGTAAAAATCACATCTGCTCATCCACTGAAAGTAGTGCTCACCCCGGCCTACACACATCTGCTCTCTGCGTTCATGCTTCAATTCACCACTGCAGAGTTGAAGTTGAAAGCAAAACATGCCGTCCTGACAGCCAATGGATGTAGATGTGCTAAAGCGGTCCTGTGCTTTCGCACCAGTTGTAGCCTGCCAGAGTAGGCAACACCAAACTTAAACTCAGGTTCACCTTGTGTAATTGCACGATTGCATTTGCATGTTCTGAGGCTGCAAGCATAGCGAAAGACGATTGGCGTAATAGCATTCTGCCTTGAATGATTCAAAAAAATCACAAGTTGAAAGCATAAGTAACCTGGAGGCCATCCCTATTAGATTGGAGGCCATCCTTATTGGGTTGGAGGCCATTGCTATTAGGTTGGAGGCCATTCCTATTTGGTTACGGTTACTATTACTGTACATACTATTATATACTATGTAAGTTCAGATAATGCTGCCCAGCTGCACCAGCATAAGTACAAGGCTGACCCATTTCCAGCTAACCATTGCATCTTCACTCACCCGCTTCGCACAGCACACACTACAGCCAACATGCAAAAGCGCCTGCTTGGGCACAGCATTGAATCAGTGGCAGCATGGCAGGTCTGCTCTATGTTGATAATGTCCCCCTCTACTACCCGTGTGCATGATAGTGGTGTGCAAATAAGTGAATCCGTGCAGTTCGATTCGCCATGAGGTGTTGGTTGTGGGTATGGTCTCATATCCGAGTATGAGTTAATCATTTGTCTCGCCGAGTTGCCAAACCTGCACTGTGTAGCAGAAGATTGTGTAGGAGCAAGCAAATACTGTTCAAACATGAATGAACTCCCACGTTATCCCTGCTCCACTCTTGACTTTCGCTGCACTTGCCTAGGGGACTAGAAGCTAATATGGTCTTGATGCACCTTCTACTGTAATTAGATGCCTGGATACAATCCTGAGGTCTGGCCATGGCTGCATGCTATCAAAACAAAGCATCAAAACTCAAAAGATCTGGGCCTTTCGGATCATCTTTGAGTAGTACAATCGTTTGAGTCAACTTAGCGCCCAACAGCCTGGATTACTGCTGTACGGCCATCAATACGTGCAGCAACGTCCAGAGATGCTGCAAAGGTCACCAGTCTACAAACAAGACTAAAGTTCTGAATGCTGCAAGCCAGCATCAGGGCAGTGCGTCCGCTTTGAGCAGCTCGAGCATCTACATCTGCCGCTGCCTTCAATAGCCTGGCCACAATAGCACTAGGATCAGGTACCATCACTGCGAACATCAATGAGCTCCAACCCCGGTCTGTCATTGTGTCCGGGTCTGCTCTCTTGCAAAGAAGCTTCTCAATGACGATCTCCAACTCGCAGTCTGCAGAATGAACACTGCTCGCTGCTGCTGCAAGGCTCCAGAGCAAAAGTGCTGAAGAAGCCTCTGGATGGAATGCCTCCAATCCATCAAGCAAACATGGCCATCCCATACAGGGTTCTATGCCCAAAATTGAAGCGCTACACAGGCGATCCAAGGATGTCGGCCCTTCAACACTGAAAATCGAGACGACATCCTCCTTTACCTCCTGTAACAAACCTGTTGATGTCTCCAAATCTGGGAGGGGGAGTACCGCTCGAATTGGAAAGAAATCGTCTGTCTCCAGTTGCTTGTACATCTTCAACCATTCATCACGGACTGGCTCGTCACTGTGCTCCGAGATTTGACACCAGCGTCGATCATGCAAATCCCACTCGCCCATAGCGAGGAGCTTCTTGCGTGAGCGAAGAACAACAAGGGCACAACGCTTCTGTCGGACATTTCGACTGTAGTCTGCAGCACAATTGTTGAGTTCTTGAGCTGCACGCAAAACACTGTGAGACTCCTCAAGAACTGACAACTCGAAGGAGGATTCAAGAGTTGAAGCGAAAAAACTGTCATCAAAGAATACAGTTGGCTGTCCAACCAAATGTGCAAATTCAATTAAAGGGTGACTGGCAATGGCACGGTCACGGACCAGGCGATTAAGTAGCTTCTTTGGTTCTTCTTTGAGGGCTCTGGAGGGATTGGCGACATTGGTATCCTGCCAGTGCGATTCGACTTCATCCAGTCTGTTTCCATTCCGAGCATCTGCCCAGAAGACATGGTGTTGGACAATATACCGTGCAAGCAAAGTTTCGGGTGTTCGCAGCAACTGTTGGATTTTGTGACGGATCATCTGGTCTTGAAGGTCTGGGAAATACTTCATCAGGTATCCGATGCTCCGCAGCTCGCTGACACTGGGAATCGAGGCGCTAGCCCCGCCACTAGCATCAAGCGCTGCAGCTATGTCGAAGCCACCCCAACCAGGCACAAACAAATCCCGCCCACGCTGAACTCCGACCCAATCTGCGGGTGCATCTTCTGGGAATTGCGAGCACCCAGCTTCTCCTAAAATGCGATGGGCATGTTGAGCAGCTAAGGTTCTCCCAGTTCCCTCACTGTCCATCTCCTCTTACCTGCCTCTTCTCTTGAGCCAACCAGTCAAAGAGAAGATTCATGGAGCCAAGACCATACTGGCACAAGGTCCTTGAAATTCCCGGCAGGTAAACAAGTGCACTCATGCATGGAAAGCCATGTAAAACGAATCAATATCAATATCAATATCATACAATGTTGCATGCCGTCCAGCTTGTCCAGTCGAAACACGTCTACGGTCCATAAATGCATATAAATGCCAACAATGCATGTGTGTGTGTCTAGGATGTCATGGCAAAAGACCTTTGGTACAAAATGGTACAAGGGTATTCCTGTTACTTGAAAAATACGCAGTTTTCCCGGAGACCAGCGCCTATGCCCAGTGCCTTGTCACTGATTGCGCTGGTGACTTGACCTGCACAAAGCAAAGGCTCAAAGCTGAAGCCAAAGGAGCATTCATCCCTGGGTGCAATTAGCTACGTGCGCATTTGGGTCCTGCATAGGTACAGAGCAGCCGGACTTTTCCGGGAAGCGATTCTTGTGTTGCCGCTCGAAAGGCAAAGTCATTGTCCAAGTTGGTCTCCGTTCTCGATCTTGTGATTGGCGATCTGGATGTTTCTCTCCATAGTCCTCCAGAGTTCGTGGGACAGAAGCTGCACTCGGAGGACAGTTGTCCATCATGCCTTCATCACACTGTTGGGGCAGCTGCAGCTGGATCAGCTGGCTTGGCCATAGACGAACTGCAGGTCCGACGCATCCCAGCTCTGCGACGGAATATCCTGGCAAAGGATGGCAAGGAGAACAAATCCCTACGCATCCCAAACCTGTCAGAAGTTGTGTTCTTGTGAATAGAGGCAAGGGGTGGGGCATTCCATGACCAGAAAGACCAAAAGGATACCAAAGGCCTTTCAGATGCATTCTAGATGGTAGAATCCTTTGCTTTTAATTCCACTTAATTAGAAAATTAATTCTAATTAAAGTCTATAGTTTCTTATTGTTTCTACTAGCAAACATTGTTACTACTAGTAAGGCACTTGTTCCCAGTAGCGATGCACTTGTTTCTCTTTTTATGCTCAAAAATTCGAAAGACACAAAAACTCAAAGCCTTGCCTCGTCAAGGAGGTCGTCGTTGAGTCATTCTTCGAGAAAGACAATCGGCTCTGTCAAAGAGTTGGCATGGCAGCTCCCCCAGTTTGACCCTGCAACTTGAGTGGCTCACAGTGAGTTCTCTTTTTGGATCCTGTCAATCCTCAAGCGTCCCTCCCGTTCCCCAATCTCCCAATTTGCCTCTGAAAAGCGATGCTCCAAGAGTAGCCTGACATGGAACATGGAACCACAGGGTAAAACCTGGTAAAAGAGGCGGCAGAGCAAATGACATAAGTTGGGACTCCTGAAGTTCCTTAAGCTCGGACTCCTTGGAGCTTGGAGTTGTCTCGGCTCTCCCCTGCGGTGCGCCACGAAAGGCGTTCCACGAATAACAAATTTCTCCCTACTGCTGCGCCTTGGAAAGCATCACGTGTGGGAATCTTCTACAGCAAACCTGGCCCAGACAAACCCGCATACAGTTGGAACTCTTGCGTATGTTTCATTGAGGAAGTTCGTACAAAGACAGAATCCCCCACCTTTCATCTCAAGCTTGGTGAGGCGAGCCTACCGCCACAAACATCAAGGAGCAAACATCTCCAAAGCCAAGTCATTCAACAACGTGCCTCTAGATTCTCAAGTCGATTCATCACAGTTTGCCAATCCTGCAAAGCAAGATCCCCAAGATCCCCAAGATCCAAGGTTTTGTGTAGAATCACTTAGTTTCACCAACCATGAGGTTGGGTGCTCTGGCCACTTTGACTGCAGCGGTGGAAGTCTCAAGCAACACAAGGACATGTTCTGCTTTGCCAAGATTCTGTTGTTCTTTGACACCATAAAGTAGCAAAAAAGAAGCGCAATGGACTTGATGAGACTGAAGTTAGGCAATTCGATTTTATGCACTACCAATTCAACCCAATGTAGGTTGGTTTCCAACATGTATTTTCCCAAAATGGTGCACTCGTCACAATTCCATGGGGGCCCGCTTCTAAATCTCCTTTAAACTTCAACCACACTCAAACCACAGGGATGTTAAACATGAAGGCGTGTGAACTGCAAAAAATGTGAGAGGTGTCTAGCGCGGACTGCTGAGATGCTGGAGCTGCTGGAGCTGCTGGAGGAGCTGGAGCTGCTGGAGGAGCTGGAGCTGCTGGAGGAGCTGGAGCTGGAGCTGGTGCTGGAGCTGGAGCTGGAGGAGCTGGAGCTGGAGGAGCTGGAGCTGGAGGCAAAACACGCATGCCAGGTTGTCAGAGGACCATCTGCGGCTCTCATTTGCTACCTGCAGGACAGAGGCTGGGACACCACCCACTATGACAGGTGGACGAAGCCAGGTTCCAATGGTGCAGAAGACTATGAGCTGAACACGCACGCCTCGTGGTTCTTCATCAAGGAGGAGCTCAACCGGGCCCAGGTGAGGGAGCGCATTTGCAACATCCAGAAGAGGACCATGCTACAAGAGGTTCAACAACCTCTAGACTGGGCGCCATGGAAAAGAATGGCTAGCCAAGCCAATCCTCGTACAAAGACGGCCCTTCAGACATGGCACCAGGAAGCAATCTTCACCAAGATGTCTGAAGGAAGTGAACAAGGACACATGATGTGCCCTCATTGCAATCAGCCGGCAACAGCCATCCATGTGCTTTGGCTCTGCAGACAGACGAACAAGAACTGCACCCCGCTGGAGGAGGAGGAGGAGGAGGACAAGCAAGAACTTGAGCATGGCATCAACCTGGAGTTCTGGGCCCAAGGTCTTTTACAACTGCCAGTGATCAAGATCTCCACTGGTGGCGCGGCCATCCAAGCGTGGGGCTCCATGACCGAACTTGATGCCATACAGCTCACAGGTCATCAAACCATGACCATTGGCATAGCCACTACAAGTGGGGACTCCAGGGTGAGGCACTACATTGTCACGATTGTTCACCACACCATTTTTGCTGGAGAGATGTTCAGAATGGGTGCAGTGACAACCGTGCTTCCTGGCCGGCAGACGCAGTGCCGGGCTTGGTACTATGGCATGAGGATGATTGCCCACTACGTGGACCTGAGTGTTCCAGTGAGGGTCCATGTGCTTTCTGTGAAAGCTTGGGAAGCCTGGTGATGGGCAAACACCCGGATCAGTTCTTCGACCTCTCCTCTTTGGTGACTTGGGACCAACGTCAAAGGGTCAAAGCTCTCAGCATCACCAAAGCTCAGCTGAGGGTCATGCCTACCACCGGCCTGTCCCTTCGCACCAGATACAAAGATGCCAACAAGGCGGCAATGGAAGTGGCAATCTCCAGAAGACCCCTTGACCAAGAAAGGGAGCTCAGAGAGCAGGACAGAAAGTACAACAGAGTGGCCCCATTGGCGGTGCAACGGATCAAGTATCTTTTGGACACCCCGGACCACTTCATCCACGAGCAGAAGGCCATGGGCAAAGAGAAAAGGCAAAAAACCAGAGATGAGAAAAAAGGCCCTCTTCCTCGAGATCAGCGTCACTGGCAAGGAAGGAGGGCATCAACGGAAACCAAAAGGTGGTTGACTTCAGTGCAACCAATGCCAGTGCCGGATTCACCATATTCACCAACACTTGACGCTGCAACAGCTCCGCAATGCCAAAGATGAGAAATGTGAGCTTGCTCAAAGCCTACCGGTGAAGGGTGGAGAGCCACAGATCGAATCCAAGCAGAACTTCATCCAGCGGCTCATCGACAATCCAGAACCTCAAGGGCACGAGCTCCAGTTCCAGACGAACTACTTGGTGTGCACCAAATGTGGCATGCGCACCTTGCGGAACTCCGCCCGGGAGAAGATCGAGCAGCTCCATCAGAGCCAGTGCTGGAGTGGAAAGTGGGAGCCTCCAGCGACATGGACTGGAAACCCAACCCACCAGATGCAAAGAAGAGGAAACAAGATCTGGTGTGAGATCTGCAAAGCGTGCGCCATCCCATCCGCAAAAGACTGGAAGGCTAGCAAACAATTGCAGCGGCCATGTGCAAAGGCTGACGAGCGACGTCAGCTCCCACTAGTGTTTCAGGCCAAAAGGGCCGCAGAGCACCTGATCTGAGAAAAGGTCCGATAAAAAAATATATATATATACTATATATTTTTTTGTATATGTGATTCATATGATGCATCTGCATAGTCAGAGCATGCTGCTTGTTATATAACCGAACGGAAACTGTCGTCCGACCTGGAGCTTCTTCATTTTGACATTTTCTTCCAAGGCCACCAGCCTCCAGTCAAAGACCAATGATCAGCCGAGATGAGGCGTGGCACACATCAACATTGCCAAGCTGCCGTGACATCAATGCTGCAGCAAGCCCTTCCACCTCATCGAAGCGACTGTTCAAAGACCTTGCAGGCAAGACTTCAAGACTTTGTTCCGTGCTGTTGCTTGTGCTGCAGGTCTATGAGCTGACAATTGCAGAAAATACACGAAAGGCATCTGGCACGTTGCTTAAGATTGCACAAGCATGACCTAGGCCTAAGATCCTAGAGCCCTAAAGAGGGAGGTCCTCTTCAAGGCTGTGCTCAAAACCGCATCGCGGCGTTGGTCAAAAACGCACGAGTTGCACAGGCTCCTGGCTGAACACTCACCACCATGACGGCAATCAGATCCTTGAACGCAGAACATTGTGCAGGCTGTGAGCAACACAGAAGAGGCATAAAGCTCTTTGGCCCAATTTGTCATGCGTGCCTGGTATGCAATTCCCTTGATCTTCTTCTCATCACTGGATTCCTGAACAACCTAGCAGGGCAAAGTGATGGGCAGCATGGACGAGAGCTCCTCACTTTGCATCGCAATTGATTGAATCGCAGAGGAGGCGACCCCTCTCGCCTACTCTCACCACCACCCCAAATTTTCTGGGACAAGACTGGAGGAGCTATCAAATCTCATCTCTACGCTGAAGTGCAACAAAGGAAGCTGGTTGATAATTCTGTAATTCTAATGCACGAAGCATCTGGTAGCCTCTGGCAAGGTCACAGCAATCTCGTCTGCAATAAAGCCGAAGCGCTGATGTTTGGCTTCCACATCCCGCCTCAGCTGCACTCTGTCTAATTGGAGTTTTGTTTGTCGGCCTTCCCTTTGTGCTTTGTCTTGGTTAAGCTGCAAGCTTGAAATAGTATGACACAGGCCGCAGCTGCCGGAGAAGCCAAGCCTTGACCGTCTACGAGAATGCAGCTTGCAATCAATATATCACAATCAGTGTATGCTCGCATTACTTTTCATCATGACACAGCGTTTACTTGAACCGCTTGAAGCTGAACATGAGAGCCGCACTGCTCCTCTGCCAGAACCTTGTCGAATCCCTGCGGTTTTCTGCATGGTAGGGAGGGTCAGCAATTTGGTGCCATGTCTATCTTCACAAATTCCTTCTTTTGTCACAGTCCTTACTTCTTTGCTTTCAATACCATTTCCTAATTGCTTTGTTTTCTTTCCTGCCTGCCTTCCCTTCCTTTCCTTCCTTCCTTTCCCTCCTTTTGTTCCTTTAATTAATTTCCTTCTGCAAAGTAGTGCAGGGCGTTCTGCAATGATCGCTCACTTTGTCATGCGTGAGCGAAAAAAAGCACGAGCACACACGTGCGACATCTTAGTGTACTGTACTACTCATCCTGGGAACAATTTTGGTAACACGTGCGATCCAACGTCGGTCGAACCTTTGTCATATTGCAATGGTGGAGACGACTGTGCCATGACAGTCTGTCTGTC